TCGTTTTTTTGGACCCTCAATTTAAAATTTTAAATTGAGGGTCGTTTTTTTGGACTGTCAATTTAAAATTTTAAATTGAGGTGTCTCAGGTCTCTGTCCGAAAAACGTACGTTTTCAAGGCTACAGGATAATGAATTTCGTCGCCGAACACGTTGCGATACACCGGACCCACAACTAAACTGAATACCTCGCACAGTTAAACTTGTGCTCCCGACACTGCTGGCTCAAGCCTGAACTCTCAACATTAAACCCAGAGCCCTGCTGCCTGAATTATATACCCGAAACACTCAGCCCCATACAATCTTTATTAAACCCTATAGTATAAACTCTAAAGCCCTGGCACTCATTCCTGAGTCCCGGTGCCTGAACCGTACTCTGTACCCTAACCCTAAGCCCTAAACAACAAGCCCTAAACTCCAAACCCTAAACCCTAAACGCTGAACTTTACTTCCTAAGCCCTAAACCTTAAACCCTAAACCCTAGACCCTTAACCTAATAAGTTAAGGGTTTCGGGTTGAAGCTGTGGGCTCTGGAAGGTTTAAACCCTAAACCCCAAACCCTTTCAACATTCACTTTGCACCTCAGAGTTCAATGTTAAGCTTGCAGGCTTCAGGTAAAGGGGTTGCGGGTTTACGGGTTTAGGGTCGAGGGCTTAGGGTTTAGGGTTTAGGGTTTAGGGTTTCGGGTTTAGTGTTTAGGGTTTGGAGGATTGGTTCAACTGTGCTTCTTTTTTGGCCGTGCCATCGCCTCTGTGCCGGATGCGACGTGACACGTCCTGGTGTTAAAAAAAAAAGCACGGCAACTTTGTGCCTTCCGACCCGCACCGGCGTCCCAGCGCCCAGGAATACGGCGACTCAGCGCCCCTGTGACACGGCGACTCAGCGCCCCTCACGCCACTCCTGGGCGTTCCAGCGGTGCAAATCGTGGCGAATCTGCGGCACTTGTGCCCAGTCTCTCAGAAGACTGTCGATGTCCTGCCACTGCCGGCGTTGCCAAAGGAAAATGAGCTTCGCCACTTTCTTCGACCACCCGCCCTGCTTCGTGACGAAGCTCTTTCCCTTGCCCTTCGGCGGGCGACCGGCGGCTATGCGCCCCAGGCGAGGCGCAGCATCTGCGCCTCGCCGGTCTCTGACGTCCCTGAGGCCGGCGTCTCTGCGCCCTGGGTCCATGCTCTCGGCGACACTGCGCCCACGTCCATCACGGTCTGCGTCTGCGCGCACTGGCGACCTGGTTCGGCTCCTGGCACGGCGAGAATCCGCCCACGATGCGGAGCGGCTGTCAGAACGGCTCCTCGCCCGCTCCTTCGGCTCCTGCTTGGGCTCCTGGCGAGAAAGGAATGGTGGGGTTTACCCTATAGGGTTTAGGGTTCAGGGTTTTAAGTTAAGGGTTTAGGGTTCAGGGCGTAGGGTTTAAGGATTCCAGGGGCGTGTGTGCAACACTGACGTCTCCTCCAAGCGCGGCCGCTCAGGCCTGGGTTCGGCGGCCACCTCCGGGCCCCGCCTCGCTTCGGCGACGCCTGCGCCCTCCTCTCTGCTTGACCTGGCGGCGTCAGGGCGCCTCACTTTCTTCGCCGCTTTGGCCGCCTTCTTCTGTTTCTTGGCCTTGGCTTTCGGCGGCGGCGCCGCGCCCACACTGCCGCGAGCGGGCGGTGGCCCCCCGGCCTTGGGGCTGGCGGGTCGACGCGCCGCCTTCGGCGCGGCCGCCTTCGGACGCTCCGGCATCCTTTTGGCAGCGACAGGCGCTCCGCCACCATATTTGCTCACTGCGACTGGCGCACTCACTGCTCTTCTGCGGGCGACGGCGACGGGCGCCCTGGTCTCCGAGGAGGACGCGTCCGTGTACGTGTACTCCTCTTCGGAGAAGTGGTCGGCCATGGCGGCAAGCGCCCACACTAAACCTGCACTACTCTGCTACTCTGCTCTGCTGACGTCTTGCTGCCTGCATGTGCCTGCGTGTGCTTCTACATGTGTGCTGCTACATGCTACATGTCGCTGTCGTGCATGACTTGCTCAGTTGCAGTTTCCTAAACCTCTGTGCCTTGCTTGAGCCGCGGGCATGCGTTCCAAGGGGGGTACCTTGCAGACTCTCAGGGGCGGCTTCGTGTCGGGGGTTCCCCGCAAGAGGCACATCGGACTCCATGTTTTTCACGGTGCGCCCCTGCCTGCTCAAGGGTCTTGCAACTTTCCCGGCGACTTGTGCGCCCACGGCTGCCCGGCGAGCCTCCAACGCGGCGACCCGGCGCCTAGCAGCGGCGATGCATACGCCCCTCACCCATGCAGCCCGGCGACTCAGCGCCCCCGCTCCCGCCACTCACGCCAGGAGCGGTGCCACAAATGCTCGGCCACATGGGGATTCGTCCTGTAGAACGCCACCAACTCATCGACCTCTTGCCATCGCTTCTGCTCTATTGCGTGGACCAAGCGGGCGAGCTTCACCCACGCGCCCCCACGGGCCGGCTCCTCGCTTCTTATATAGGGTGTCAGGTTCAGGGTTCAAAAGATCTAGAGGGTTTATACGTGGTTTACAGGGTTTGTATATAGTTTATAGGGTTTAGGGTTTACAGGGTTTAGGGTCACGTTTAAAAGCCAAGCCGCCATGGGCTGCCCGCGCGGCGGCAATGCCTGCCCTGGCGGCAGGTGCCGCGGCTGGCGGTCTGGACGCCCACTCTGCTGGCGTCTCTGCGCCCCCTGCCGGTCGCTGTTGTCACGGCGGCCCTGCGCCCCGTCCCTACTCTGCTGGCGTCTCTGCGCGCCCTGCCTGTCGCTGTCCTCACGGCGGCCCTGCGCCCACTGCTCGCGTCTTCCGGCGTCGTTGCGCCAACCTTCCTCCCACCAACTTCCACCCCGACTCCACGGCTGCAAGGCGGAATCTGCGGCAGGGTCCGGCACGGCGTTCCCGACCTTGCAGATGTCGGGTTTGCGGTTTGCACGCAAGGTTTTCTATACCTCTACAAAGCTTGAACCCTGGAAACCTTTTAGGTTTGTATATATTATATATATGTATATATATATATAGACCCTTATAAACCATGTTTCCTCATATATTATTCATATATATATATATACATTGCATCACAAGCTGCGGGGGCCGTGTTGTGCCGCACGCTGTTGCCGCTGTCGCTCTCGCTCTCCTCCTCCTCGTTGTCCACGCCGGCTCCACGAGCCCAACCTGCTGCCCTCGTCTTGCCGGCAGCCCTACCTTTGCCGGCGCCCCTGCGTGCCTCCGCCCGTTGCCAATACTCCACCCTGGCGTCTTGCGCCCCCGGCCATTCCTCTTCCTCGGACTCAATGTCCTGGTCCTCCTCGTCGTCCTCCTCCTCGTTCTCCTCCTCCTGGTCGTCCTCCTTGTCCTCCTCCTCCTCGCCCTCCAGCTCCTGCAGCGCAAGGCGCTGCATGCGCCGGGCGATTTCCAGAGCACGCCTGCACTCACCGGCATCTCGTGCCCCCACGGCGCGAATCATGTCCCGCCCGACTTGCGACATGGCGCGCACAGTCCGTGTGTCCTGCACGTGTCTCTGCCCCTGTCTTTCTTTCTGTGTCTTCTTGTCTGTGTCTCTGTGTGTGTGCGCGTGTGTGTGTGTGTGTGTGTGTGTGTGTGTGTGTGTGTGTGTGTGTGTGTGTCTGTGTGTGTGTGTCTCTCTGTCAGTGTGTGTGTGTGTGTGTGTGTGTGTGTGCGTGTGCGTCTGTGTGTCTGTGTCTGCGTCTGCCTGTGTCTGTGCGTGTCTGTGCGTCCCTGTCTGTGTGTCAGCTGTCTCATGCATGCGTCCGTGCATGTGTCTCTGTCTCTGCTCGCATGTGCATGTGTGTTCAGCTTGCTGCCCGCGCTCGTGCGCCAAGACCTCGAGCCAGACTCACACAGAAACGCAAGCACGGAGAAACGCAAGCACGGGCCCGGTTCCATGTGTGTGTCAAAAGACATATATATAAATGTAACAATTCTAGACATGCTTATGTATACATCTGTGTACACCTTCTTCTACAGCTATATCCCATTTTGAAAACAAACATTCAGTTGCCCCTGCCCCTCCATGGATGCATTGTCTTCCGTTTTCACGTCCCGGCCCTCCTGCATGCCTTGCACACCTGCAACTAATGCGCACAACCATTGGCACCGAATCATGCGTGGCATGCACGCATGTATCTGCTTGCCCGCAAGCTTTCGCGGCGCTTAGTCCGCGCCCTCTTCTTTTTCGGCGTCCTCCGCCCCCGCGGCCGGCGCTGCGTCTCCCGGCCGGTCACTGCGCTTGCCGCGCCCGGCGTACTTGCCACTCTTTTTGTAGGACCGTGCCGCCGATTCGGAGCACGTGGCGACGTCCTGCTGCAGCTGGTTCAACACGGCGGCCAGCGCCGACGGCTCTAGCCGCACGCACACGTCAGACTGCCGGTTCCTGCCGGCACTCAGCACTTCCACATCATGCCCCGCGAAGCAGAGCTGCAACGCATGCAACCCCTCCTCCGCAGGCCTTTGCGCCTGCCTCTTGGCTCTCTTCTTCGGCGGGGCATCTGCGCCTGCCGGGAACAACTCGGCGGCTGGCTGCTCGCGCCCCTGCACTGCGTCATTGCGCAGGCGTCTGAGCTCGGCCAGCTGCGGGCTGCCAGAAAGTGACACAGCAGCCGTGTGCTTCTTGTTCACGCCCAGTAACTGCGTCAGATACGGCGCGGTTGGCCTGAGCTGCAAGAACTGCACACCATTCACCGTGTGAACAAAGTTCAAGGGGACCAGACTCTTCCTGTCCCCGAACACGACAATGGGCTGCCACTGCAAGGAAGCGCATTTCGCCATGGCTCTCCTACAACACCTGCACAAAAAAACAAACACTACGCACTTCTCCTATATACAAGACAAACTGCCACGAACATTGCGCCATGCTTGGCACGCATGCATGCACAACGGTCACCATGTGCATGCCCTGTCATGCAGGGGCCCTCATATTTTGCGCGGCGCCATTCCATGCATGTCCTGCAGTGCGCATGCACGAGCCACTCATGCAACCAGGACCCTCATGGAACCCGAGCTCGCTTCTTCGGGCCAGGGGATGCAGCAACGGGCCTCGGCTGCAACATCATGTACGTACCTTATATATAACACTGCATGTCCGTCCATTCTTGCAGAACCGTCCCTCTCCTGCCGGGCCGAGGCACTCGGACGGCGCCGCAAAGGAGAGCAACTCGTGCTGGTTTAGGGGGAGTTCGTTCTGCAGCACGTGCACTTCCAGCTCCTCGTACACAACCTTAACGTACTGCATGGTGGCATGATCTTCATCTTCGGCAACCTTGCACCACCAATACGGCGCGAGCGCCCCGGCCCGGTCGAAATTGGACGCCGGCCGCATCGCCGTCACCTGGAACCGAGCACCCTGGAAGGAAACACAAACGGCTCGCTTCGGCAGCGTCGTGCCCGCCTTGGGAAGCTGCAAGTTTCCCAAGGGCCACAGCCTGAGCTTCTTGGCTTTGAAAGCCCGGCCTGTGAAAACCGCCGCCGGGTTCAAGCCGAAGACGAGCTCGCTGTTCCGCACACTGTGCGTGGCGTAGCCACGCCAAAGCAGGGCCTGCGCCTGCACCCTCAGCCATTCCGGCTGCATGGCGACCAAGGGCGACAATGCCAGCGCCCTCTCCACACTGCAGGCTTCAGGCATCATGGACGAGGTCGGCCGCCACTGTCTCAGTTTCGCCAGCTCCTGCGTCGCTACGGCAAAGGGCATGCATGCATGACGTGTACATGCACGCTCTCCATGCATGTTCTTTTTCTGCGCATGCCCCTGTGCGTGTGCATGTCTCTATTCTGCATGTGTGTAAATCCCTCGATGCTTGCACGCATGCACCTCTACCACTTCCACCTGGCCCTCAAACAGCGTCGTGGCCACGAACTTGGCGCCAGACCCGTCCAGGCTTTCCAGGACGAACACCCGGCCCGGATGGTCCTTGCACGTGTAACGCTTGCCAACTTGCACGTGCTCGTTCACGTGCAGGGCGTGCACGGCTGGGTTTTCGCAGTCCTTCAAGGACATGGCCAGCGCAGCCCGCCCCGACGACGGCGCTCTCCGCGATGCTTGCGCCCCTGCCGGCGTCGGTGCGCCCTGCACTTCCCGTGCATACGCCGAGCTTATGGCGGCCATGTCCGGAAACTCCACCTTCTCGCGACCATGCTTCTCTTTCTGAAGAAGCCAAAGGATGCCGCGCACAAGGAAGCGGCCGAAGGCGGGGACGCAACCCTCCTTATCCATGCCGCGCGCTTGCTGGTATAGCGGCCAGCCGAGCCGGAAAGCTGCCTCAGCCTCCCTCGCACGCACTTGCGCCCCTGGCGTTTTGAGCCGTTCCACATCCCCCGGACTCAGGAGGCGGGCAAAGCCGTCCTTCACCTTCGGCGAAGTGAGCTGCGCGGCCAGGCATGCGGCCCGCACAAACGGCATGGACTCCTCCTTGATCTCTGTGTGCGCCACGGCGCGGACGAAGTCCTCGCCCAGCAACAACGTGCCCCCGTACGTTTTCGCGAACTCCTGCAAAAACTGCACCATGGGGAAGGACTCATCAGCGCCCCCCCCGTACCGCAGCACCCAATGGCAAATGCTCTCGACATACTTCCCGCACGGCGGCCGCCCAGCGACGACGCGCTCCAACGCCAGCCGGCGGCACTCCTCAGCGTCCGACCCGCGCCCCTGCAGCTCGGCGAAGTACGCCGCGTAGCTGGACGCCACCTCCATCTCTGACAATGGGGTCACGGCGGCGTGGGCGGCGTTATACGCCTGTTGCAACAAGTGCGGGAGCTCTGGAAATGACTCTTCCACGCACGACTGCACCACAAACCATTGCCAGCCACCTTCAGCGACCTTGCGCAGAAGGTGGTCTGGCCCCCGCTCTGCGATAAACGCACCCAGGGAGGACCCGTCGGCGGCGCGCGCCCCAGCCAACATGGCTTTGAAAAACTGGCTCGTGTGCGATCCCGCGACCGACAGCAGCCGCTCAGTCCGCGTTACGGGGGCTAACATCCCGCCGGCGGCTCGCGCCATCTTCTCGTTGGCGGCGTATTGCGCCTCCCGTGCTACTGGGTCCGTGGCGAGCTCGAACGCCACGGACCCAGTCTGCAGCAACTCCGGGCGTATGCCCGTCTGCACCATTGTGCATCCCCGGCTGTGGCAGTCGTGCGGATTGACCATCAGCCCCCCGCGATTGCACGGGTGCACCAACAGCATCGTCGGCTTCTCCTGAGCCTTATACGCCAAACCGGCTGCCAGCAGCAGGGACTGCACTTCCTGCATCTGCGCCATTGGCTCTTTGTCCGCACAGCGTAGAACGCTCTCAACTTGCGCACGCAACTTCAAGTCCATGGCTGCGAACCGGACTTGCACCTGCTTTCTCTACTCAACTCAACATGACTCCTGCACGTGCACTTGCAATTCATCTGCACGCATGCTTCTCGTCCTTGACATGTCTCCTGCATGCACTGTCCATGCATGCATCTTCTCCGTCTTCTGTCTGTGCACGTCTACATACTCATGCGCGCGAGTCTCTGTCCGCGTGCAGCCGTGTCAGGTCTGCATGACCGTGTTTCTGGACCGAACCAGCTGCGGATCCCGCGCGGGGTTATAATGCACCGCTGCACATGGTTTCGGGACGCCGGCTGGGCGCTCTTTCGCTTTCACCCTTGTTCATGCTTGCGAATGCTTCCATGTTTTTATATTTCTATGCGCGAGTCTCTTCCGAAACTGTCGACCCTTCCCTTCGCATGCTTCCTTTTGCCGGGCAACTTCCGCCCAGGTCTTCAGCATGAATCCTCCCTGCTCTGTGCCAAATTTGCCCAACATTCACGCTTTACTTCTTGAGTTGATAAGTCGCATAACCACTTAGCCAAATTAACTTAAGTCCTTACTAACTGCGGTCCTAACTTGGCTAATTCAAATAAACGTTTATCGCTCTTAGCTCGATGCTTAGCTAAATCCCTCTAATCGGCCTTACTGCTTACCACCTCTTATAACTTCTTGCGAGGGGGTTGCGTGGTACTTGTCAACGTCTTACTACACGCTTACATTTCTTGAATAAACCTCCTAAACCGGTAACAAAAACCCACGCCATCAAAGTAGGGTGTAGGGTTTAGGGTTTAGGGTTTAGGGTTTAGGGCTTAGGGCTTAGAGGATCTTACAGACCTTCCGACATCTTTATCCTTGTCGACAGTGTGCATGTCGAGGGCGCAGGCATTCCTCTCAACACGCGTAGCACACACGCCACTTGATGGAGACCACCCAAGTTTGTTTCGGGCTACCCTAAACCCTAAACCCTGAACCCTTAACCCTAAACCCTGAACCCTAAACCCTAAACCCTAAACCCTAAACCCCAGTTGCTTCGGAGGTCCCCGGGGGCGCCCGAAAGATCCCAGGACCTTTGTTGGCATGGTTATTATAGGGAGCACTTTCAATGGTCAACAAAGATGTGCCCCTTGCCCTTGGCAATCCGAACCCTTGGGTTTAGGGTTTATTGAAACTATTCCTGGATTAAGTCGAGGGTTGCGGGGATTTCCGGTAGACCCTTTACCATAAAAAGGTAGAGCTCAAGCGCGAGCGCACACTCTTCGGCGGGCTGCCATACCTCATCAGCCTGGACAACGACACTCGGACGAGGTTAAGAAGGCCCTAAACCCTTCTCGGTAGGCCCTTAGGACAATCTAGATTTTCCCTTAAGGAATGTTTTTTTTTCAGAGGGTGCTAAGGGCCATCCTAGCTTAAGCCCAGAAGCCCCAAACCCAAAACCCCAAGCCCTCAATTAGGACCCAGTGGCAGCCTCTTTCCCCCATTGCTTTTGGCAAGGCTCCCGTAAAAAATCCTGGTTTGGGGACAAGGTAGAAGGATCCAAAATATGAGCCAAAAAACTTGGTAGCCCAGCGGTACGGTACCCTTTACTCTTTTTTTTCGGGTTCTGGGTTCCCTGATGTTACCTAGCTAATAAACGGTGCCCTTATTTCAATATGGCTACTGGGCTACCAAGAAAAGGGCCACCGAAAGACAGTAGTTTCGTTTTTTTCTTCCGGGGGCCGGGGGGGGGGGAAGTCATCGTTCTCCAGTGCTATTCTCGTCTAGGAGGGATGCAGGAACTACAACCTGGGGAGCCCAAACTCGATAGCTCCCCTGATTTCCGGGTGTGGGGTTTTTAGGGTTTAGGGGTGTGGGGTTTAGGGTTCAGGGTTTGGGGGTTTTTAGGGTCTAGGGTTTCGGGTTTGGGGTTTTTGGGGCTTATGAGGGTTTTGAGTTTAAGGGTTTAGGGTTTTTGCATGATCAAACTGAAACCGTCGACTGCGGGGTCCGGGCGCTTACCGAGGCGACAGATCCTGCCAAGGACGCAGACAAGGTGACGATCGAGTCCTTACGGACGAGCCGCTATAAGGCCCCGGGTTTAGGGTTTAGGGATTAGGGTTTAGGGTTTAGGGTAGTTTAGGGCACAGGGAGCTCCCCCAACAATTCTGCGCCTGCGCGCCAAATCCAAGCCCTTAAGGCTCAGGGTTCAGGGTTTAGGGCGGAGCCAGGAACCTACGCCCTGAGTCGAGTATGCTACATCGCGCAGGGTTTGTCTAGAGGGCTAGGATGCCAAGTAGTACCCTTATTCCCTTTTTTGGGGGGGTTTTAGGTTCCCTTGCTGGGGCTAGAGGGCAAGTAATGGCCAGGTTGTGTCAGTCACACCTGGCCAAGATCCTGGTACTGCCGATCGCCCCCTCCTCCCTCTCGCAACGCAACACGTAGCATATGGAGGGGGTTTACGATATTTGGGGGGTACCTTATTAGGATCCTTGTCAGAAGGGAATCCTACTATTCGGGTATCTTGGGGCTCCCTGAGTTTCGTAAACCCCCGATCTTGCGAAATAGTTGGTTTGGTGCAGTTGAAGTTGTCCGCGACCATCATAAATATACTGCTTTCGGAAGCGCAGCCAAGTGATTCCACACTGCTTGTCCTACCCTCGCCGCCAACTGCTCGCGGAGACTAGGAAAACATACTGCTCGCGAGGAGCGTGAACATCTAAACCCCCAAAACCCCCCAAAACCCCCTAAACCCCCAAAACCCCCAAAACCCCCTTGTAGACCATTTCTTATCAAAACCAAACCCGTGCCCTGAACCCTGAAGCTAAGGTTTAGGGTTTTAGGATTTAGGTAAGCCCTACACCCCATGAGGCCCCAAGTCTTTAACCCCAGATACCTAAAGCCCAACCCCTAGACAGGCCCCAAGAACTGAATGGCAACAGCAGGCAAAGGTAGAGCTGCAACGAGCGTGCAGCGGCTGCCCCGGAGCCGGGGGTTTAGGGTTTAGGGTTTAGGGTTTAGGGTTTAGGGTTTAGGGCTCAGGGAAATCTTGTTTTTTCGCAGGCCGAGAGTGGGGATGTCGGATGTTAGGACCTTAGGATAGTCAGGGTTCGGGTTTTAGAAGCTGGGACTACGGATCAAGACCCTTCAGATTGAGGGTGGGTGGGTGGGGAGTGGGGGGTGGGGTGGGGAAGAACCCTAACGGGGAGGCATAGCGTGGAGGGTTGAAGTTGTGAACGGAACAGTCGAGTCTTACAGGCACGGGTGGGGTCATGATGGGAATACTTTTGAAAATCACGTTACCTCTCTGTGTTACATATTCTGCCAATCTGTATATATATAGTATATACATATATATATATATATATACTCCCCCCCCCCAATGATCTAGGTCGGAAGGCCTTTCGGGCACATCAACGCCAGATTTAAACCTAATTCGGATTTTATATGAAAAGGCCACACCCTCTGAGAAATCCTCTGGCCTCATGCGTAGTACAATTTATTTAGAAAACTAAATTTGCCTATTAACAGCCGCGCCCTATGAAATCCTCTTTTGGCAACTTTATATGCAGAAGTTACAGCCTCAGAAATCCTGATCTGGGCTTCCTTACTAGTTTAATGAAAAACTGCTTCTATATAAGAAGCCTACACCCTAGGAAAAGAATTCTATGCTTAAAGGCCACACCCTATGAAATCCTCTTCTGGGCCCTCTTAATGAAATTTCGGTAGACTTCTGTATGATAAAGCCACAGCTTCGTTCGTAATTGGCCCATTTAAAAAAATATTAAGAGGCCCGGCCCCAAGACATCCTCTGCTAAGCCTCATTGGTAAATACCTATTTAGAATTTTTGCTTTTCCCACACCCTATGAAATCCTCCTCTGGCCCCACTCCTAATGAAACGTAATTTGATTTCGTATTGTAAGCCCACACCCTAAGAAATCCTCTTCTGGGCTTCGTTCGTAGTTAAACCCAAGTAAAGCAAGTGTATATTAAGAGGCCAACCCCAATTTTATATTGCAGACCACACCCTATGAAATCCCTTTCTGGCCCCCATTTGTAATGAAGATTAATTAGAAGTCTGTATTATAAAACCACCATTGCGCACCCTTCCAAGGCCTCAACGAGGACAAAGGCGCGAAGATTTTGATGTTCATTGGGCGCTGGGTGAAGCAGAAGCTCCGCAGATTTAGGGTTTTCGGGTTTTTAGGGTTTAGGGTGTAGGGATTAGGGTTTTTGCTTCCTGTTGAGGGCTTAAGATTCACAATCGGGCTCGCGATTTAGGAGGGTTGCTGTGGCGTTGCCCCAAGCACTATGCCTCCCGCCCTGTAATCCCGACATCCCTAAACCCGAAACCCGAAACCCTAAACCCTAAACCCAAGGCGGCGCTAAGTTCAAAGAGGAGCATTTTGCTTAGGCGCTTGTTGCTGGCACTCCTAAGCTCGTCGTCTAAGCATTTAAGGTTAGTGAGGTTTAGGGTTTAGGGTGTAGGGTTTAGGGTTTAGGGTTTAGGGTTTAGGGTTTAGGGCAAAGGTTCGACAGTGGGCGCTGAACCCAACTTCGGACTCGAAAAGACTCCCGCCAACCTGAGTATGAGGACCCCCCCCTCCCCCCGGCTTGGATTTGTGGTCCATACTCGTTTAGGGATTAGGGTTTAGGGTTTAGGGTTTAGGGTTTAGGGTTTAGGGGCTTTCTGGCAAGAACAGCCTTCGAGCTGACTTGCACAGCCAAACGCCCGAACGTCATGAGTCTAGGACCCGGAGTAGGCCCCAGATTCCCTGTTTTGGGGGGGGGGTTTAGGGTTTGGGGTTTGGGGTTTGGGGTTTAGGGTTAGGCCTAAGCCCTGAACCCTAAGCCCCCCTTAAACCACAAAGGGCACCCCTTTTATTCCAGGAGTGAACGTAAGCAAACAACGACTGCTAATTACACCCTTTGAACCCTCAGCCCACTGCAATTTCGCCCCGGTTTTAGGTTTAGGGTTTACGGTTTAGGTTATCCCAACGTAAACCCTAAAATGCCTGTGAAGCCCATAAAGCCTATACTGAAC